GCGATGGGAGCAGATTGGGTCAGTCAATCCCAAAACTTTCCATCCCTGCCTGACCCGTCGATTCTTTGATTCGCCCCGGGGATGTCTGACACTTCGGTTTGCTCCGAACCTCAAGATAATGACCAAAAAAGCATGGGTGCAGAATGCCAGGGTCCTAGCAACCAACAAGATTGGGGATCGCTACGCTTGGTTTCCTTTTAGTCTCCCAGTCAAACTTTTTCGGTGGTTTCTAACTGCTGGCAAATCAAACTACTAGTTTTGCTTGTGGCTCAATCTCCAAGTCAAACGCTACTGGACACCTATTTGTGTGGCAGGTTCATTGGAAAGGCCACGTCTGTCCAAAAGCTCCAAGGCGCGATTCGGTCGCACAAAGACCTGCTCCTAGCCCAAAACCTACCCTCACGGAATGCCTGTTGTTTCTGTCAACTACCAACCAAAAGGGGGGTTTACCCTTTTGAGAACCTCCTATGGCCCCCTTTCGAATGAAATCGGCCAAGTAGATCAGGAAAAAAGGTAACGGGTGCGCTGGGCGCTGTGCTCTTCCCCGAGTTCCGGGACATCATGGACACCACCCGCTGCACAGTGCTCTGGGACGCCTGGGAAACGAGGGTCGGCTAGCCGTGACAGATGGCGCTCACCATGGCAAATCCAGGGTCTAAATTCCCCCTGTTGCTGGTGGCTATCAACTGTTGTAAGAAACCAATTCACAAGTGGTTGCTGAGCATGAATCCCCACCTTCTCAAAAGGCCCCTGCTGGAATCACACCGGTATACCCTTTTCGGTCCTCCTATTGAGGGGTATCCAACAAAAAAAACCACGCGGGAAGAGACAAACCCATCTTGGCTCAAAAAAGACACCTGCGTCACTTACTCATGCAAGGGGACTTGTGCCGTCTGCTTTCACCCCCTGAAAATAGTTGTGGGGCCGGGGGGCAGCATCAACAGCCAAATACCTCATGAACATAAGACAATCATGTCTGCGAGTATCCAGCCCCTTAAAGTGACTTGGGTGCCTAGACGTGGCTTTGCCATTTTGGGAAGGATGATCTCGCGGATGTCACTTGACTGAGCTCAGGCAACAAGTAGAAGGCACACACACACACAAGCAACACACCGTGCTATGCCGGGTACTTCCAATGACCATTGGCAGTGTAGCAACCAACACCTTAGTACGGCAACAACTCGCTTACCATAAGAACCTTTACCATGGTGTGGAGAACACACCTATTATCCTTTCACTACAGGTTTGACACGATTCGTGACGCTTCAAGGCATCTGAAGGGAAGATGACAAAGGAGGGTCATCAGGCTCTGCACAAGCAAACAACCAACACACCAGCGCTTTGAAGGGACCGGAATCCAGCCGATAGAGTCTTAGACATGCCTTTGCTTTGGCCAAACATCAGGCAAGATGGGACATCCTGGCGAACGACTGGGATAATGTTAACTGCGGATGAACCTCTCAGGACCCTGCCAGTTACAGGTCGGCCCGTCAGTTTCCCCATAACACTCTCAATTATTGTCAAGGTGGTCTGTCCCCTTCCAGAGAAGACTCCTTTTTTTCACAGGGACCCCCATGGAATCTCTGGGGAAGCTTGCCAAGTAGAAAAATCCCGACCTGTGCCCTTCAGTGCTGCGCGCCTGAGCCACAGCTTCCATGGCGGTGGAAAAGCTGTTGTAGCTCTGGCAGGGGTACCTCTAAGGCGATGACATCCCCTGTAAAGACACATGCACATCTTTGTGCTTTGCTTCGCTGATACGTCGAGCTGCAAAGGTGAGATTCAGACAACAGGAAGTCTGCCCCAGCTTTTGGCCCCCCACACGAAGAATATGTTAAGTGGGCCAGCCTCCCGAAATCCTCCCAGGAGTTGGCTTCACCAAAATAAACGGGTCCAGCCGCACCAATGCCACGCAAGCCGAATCAGGGCCGAAGGCGCCTTCATTCAAGCCCTGAGTCCCCAAAAGGGGGACCGAAGACATCCAAAAGGGCACTCCCCTTCGGTGGTTTCGATAGAAGCTTTCTCTGGGATTCATATTGTCTACAAAAGCCAGCGGACAAAAAAGAAGCTCTGGTGATATCCCGAACAGCATGCGGTGAACTTCTTTGGCCCTCGCAGAACTTCGTGGAATCCTCGAACCCTGATGGAACCCTCGTGGAACCCTCGTGGAACCTTACCTCGGGGCCGCCCAAACCACCCCGGACCCTATCTGGGCTCAGACCCCAAAGCTTTCAGCTGTTGGGGAACAAAAACACGCACCAAGTAAGGGTTACCTGATGATAGAAATCTGGCAATTAAAGAAAAGGACACCTGTCTGTCTCACGCCGGTTTTTTGCGAGGCGGACGATTCGCGGAATCCGACTCCGGGTCACGACAAGATGCGGCAAAGCTCTTCCGTCTCGGCCCTCAGCTTTTGCGCCTTCTCCACCTGCGGTCTCTCTCGCAGGTGCTGGTGGTGCTGGTTTCTGGTGGAAAAGCCTGTCATCAAGTAGGAACAATCACCTCCATTTGCTTAATCGCCTGGAACAAATATGTCCAGTAGTGATAGATTCCCTTGAAAACCAACCAGGGGAAATTCAGAATATTCTTAACCAAATGGAAGATCACTTGACTTTGTCACGTTAATGGAGGGTTGGGTTAAAATTCACAGAAGTTGATCGCACCAAGTTCTGCTACAGCCATGTTTCGGAGCACCCAACTCGGGGCGAGCACTGTGGGGTTATTTGCTCACCCTGGACCAAGGTGATCACTATGCACCTTGACGAGTTGCCCAGAGAACCCTGAGGCTTAACAGTTCCATTCGCTGGAGATGAGGCAGAAAGGGGATGCTCTTTACGAAAACTCATGTGCTGCCCCCAAAAATGCTAGCGCATAGATCGAGCCACATGGCACTGTGTTATGAAGCCGGCTTCGCCAGTGTATATGGTCCTCAAAGTTTTAACCAAGCCAGGCTTTCTGTATATGTCCATCCATGGAGCATGATTGTGGCTCCTCTATCTATCCCCTGGAAAGGTTTTAAGACTTTATGTCCCTAAGACCCTGTAAGAGTCGCTCGCCTTGGAGGGACCTTTGGATTTCTCCCGCGTTTGGCGTTGCCGTTTGCTTTTCACCCGCTCCAAATCCCTCAGTTTCTACCGGAAAACCGAGATCCCGGTCCGGGCTCTCTGGCCCCGCCGTCCGTTTGTGACGTCACGTTCAACATGTCACTCAGCTGGTTTCCAGGAAAAGAATGGAGCCTTGTCTTCCTAGACATGTGCCATTTTCAGAAAACAAAAAAAACAATATCACACAAAAACACACACACACAAAAAAACAAAAACATCCGGCTGGAAAGAATGCAGGAGCCACAGCTAAGTATTAGTATGTGTCACAATATCCCCCTAGAATGGTGGTTGTCCTTTTGGTTTTCGTTTACATCACGGTGACCAGGGTACCCTCAAGAGAAACACACGCGCATACGACCGCGCAAATGACCGAAGAGACACGCCGAACGACCGTGCTGTGCGCCCCTGCTACGAAGATCTCCACCGGAGCTTGCACGTCCTCCGCACCTGTCTCCGTGCAACTTCTGACTTCACAGGTGGACATCCAAGGAGTACTGTGCGGCTATATGTGACGTCCTTGGCAGATTTAATTCCACGAAAACATATATTGAGAATTCGTAATATGCTTCCCATATAACCTACCTAAAGATCTCTGTCTGCCAGGCGGGTGGGGGGGGGCGGAGGGGCGGAGGGGGGCAACTTTTAAAGCTCTTTGGGGCCATCGCATGAATCCAGGCCTTGCTCGCGCCGGACAATCTTGCGGAAGCCCCGAAGGAGTTCTCGCTCCTCCTCCTTCACCTCGTTGACATGGCATGCTGAGGACAAGAGGGGGTTGATCAAAAGGTCCTTTACATGGGATGACCATTAGAAGAAACCACAAAAACACAAAAACAACCACAAAAAAAAGAAAAAAGAAAAAACAAATAATAATAGTAATAATAATAATAATAATAATTTATAACATCTCACTTGGGAAAAGTTGCCCATGGTCATTTGGGGGCCGAACGGAATAGTGATCAATCTCGAAGCCTTCATTCTTTCATCCACGGCTTCAGCGCTTCGGGGTGCCAACCAACAGGTTGCCAACTCAAACGGGACCTCGTTGTCACCTTCACGGCTTCAGGTTCGGGCAGATTCTTTGCCAGCCTTAGAGAGATGAAAAAGAGGCTGGGTAGAGGATAAAATCTCCAGAAATACCCTTTGGGCTGGTTTTCTTGGACAACCTTAAGGAAGCCAATCGCTTCCAGCGATCCCTATTTTGCAGACACGACAAAGAAGACAAAGAAGACAAAGAAGGAATAGAAGGAAAAATATGATCCACTTATCTTTATTCAAGCGGAGTTTACAAGGTTGAGGAAAGAAAGACATAATGAGAGATAGAAACCAATAACGAATATATACCTCAATCATTAATCAGCTTGTTGTGTTAATATCAAATATGTGTCTTATAAGTTTTAGCTTGTCCATTCCTGTTGCTTCATTATTTGACAATATCATGTGAGTAGTCGTATCTTATTATTTGTGACTTAATTATTTAGAAGTTAGATGTACAGTGCCGTTGCCATGTGTGGTGAGGTTAAGTGCGGTGGTACCGCTATACTTCATCAAATTGTGTAGTGCATTCGGCAAATAATGAGGTTTTGAACAAAGCCAGCTACAAGCTCAGCAGCAAGCAGTCGGAATGTTAGTTTACCCCGACGATCATGAACGGTTTCTTAAATGATGTGCTGATGATAAATGGCGCTAGCTATAATCCCTAACACTGACTTGTAATGCCATGGTGTGTGTGATTTACAAGCCAAAGTTCGACAAAGTAGCAGTGGCCAAGCTGGCTCAACACATTAGGCCTAATTAGAGACAAGGCCAGTTTTTGCCTGATGCTGTCGGAGTTTTGACCTGCACGAGCGAACCAGGGATAGCACTACGGGATGTGTGGGTGTGGGTGTTTTCTTGAGGAAACCCATTTTAGCTTGGTTTAAGGAGGGAACCAAAAGGACAACTCTAGGGCTACCTTCCCCTTCTTTCCAGGGATCCTTCTTTCTAGAAAACCTCCCAACAACCCAGGGAAAACGGCCAATTCTCCGCCATCTGTGGGGGTCTGGTTTCGACACACATGAGTGTATGCGCCCTTCAAGCAACCAAAACCAGTGCCACGCCTCCTCATCCGCTTTGAGGGTCTTCTCTGCAGCCTTCAGCTTGCCCGCCACCACATCCAGCAGCGCCTTGGGCCAAAAGGGGCCTGGGTTTGGTCGTCGATGTTTATTTAAGAAATCCACAGCAGCAAAAACCGAAAAGGGGCACCACTGGGTGTCTAGGTCCTTTTAACGTCTTCTCACTCGCCGGACTGACTCAGAGAAGAAGACTTGCTAGTGCTCAGTAGAAAATGAGGGAATGACCCCTGTAAACCATCCGACTGGTGGTTTCCTGTATTCGGGAATCCCCAAAACCGGGTCATTCCAACTTCTTCCATACGTATTGCAGCGAGAAGAAAGGGCGCCACTGGAGGTCTCAATTGACGTTCGGGGAACCTGACGTTCGGGGGGTCCTGGTTCAGACCATTTTGCCTTTTCAAGGGAGCCCCGGGACCAGGTCCCAACGTCCGGTTCCATGTGAGTTCGGCTGGGAGGGTGCGCGACATATGCTCGCCAAAAGAAAGCTGACGAGGGGAGGCGCGCTGGGTCATCGCCCCATGTTTCGGAAAACAAATAACAGAAAGACCAACAACCTTTAAAAAAAAGGCAGCAACATCTTTGGAAAAAGAGAACACACCCAAACCAGGCACGGGTGACAGAAGCTAGAGTGTTCTTTGGATTGAATCGTTTGTTGTTGTTGGTTTTCCCATGGGCAACCTTGGGCCGCCATGCTTACATCACTACCCCTGTTGATCAAGGTGAGCCCTGAAAATAACAATGTGTTCCTACTCGGGGACTTCCTATTCTGGCGGAAGGGGGGGGGGGCCCTCTGAATATGGGGGAAGCGTTGTCGCGTTCATATTCTCACTTTGAGTCACATGTCAAAGGGCCCATGGCAGCTGGTTGAATTTATACTTCATATACTTTAGAGAGCAAGACCAACTTCCAACTGCGGCCACCCTCGAGTGACCGCATGCCACAGGCCATGTTCTGTGGTCGGTTTGAGAGTCCGCCATAGGAACACAAGGCACCCTTGTGGTGGTACTCGTTTTCAAAGGGGCGCCGTTCAAAGGAAAGCCATCGTTTGTTGGTATGTACAGGGGAATCATCATTGCAGGGTTCCCTTGGTGGTGCAGGATTTTGTCCATCCACGTTACGACTGCCCCAGCGGCTGTTGGCAGACGTAGCATGCTCTGCCAGTTGCGCAGTGCATATGCTTCTCTAATGTCAACTTGCACATCGCTTCAACTTCCTTCTCTTGCCGTGAGCGACGTTTCCAAGCTTGCGGGAAGTCTTTGCAGAACCCTGTAACAGAGCCTAGTCAATGTAAGCTTCAGTTGCCGGTACTTCTGATATCCTTCTCAAATGACTGAGCATGTTCGCTGCATAGGGGCTGGATAACTAATGTTCGCGTCATCCACCGCACACCTCAAATTCATGAAGCGCCTTGGTTGCGAGCCACGCAACACCCTCCAAAAGGTAGGTTGGGCGAGGGAAAGGATTCATAAATAGACATGTAACACGTGTATGTAATTCTGTAGAGTCATGTATTACAACCAGGGTTCCACTTTTTGACTACCCCAAGATGGACTTGAACCCAGGGGGTCTCCTTTTGGAAGACATGAACCACCCCTGGGTTTAAGTCTACCTTGGAATAGTACTGTACCATGACCAACCTTGGCACAGCCTGGGTCCCGCGCCCGCTGCTGAGCCAAAAGCTGGCGCTGCCAGGCGTTTTGCGTTCGCAGGCACCTCGGGTATGGCAAACGGATCTGCAAATTCGAGGAGCTTGGTAGACGTTGGAAGGGGAGCACAAATTGAAACATTTTAAAACATGTTAGCAGTTAAGTGGTTGGATTTCAACCACCAAACCACAATAAGCAAACATGTAAAAGGTTTCCCAACAACAAACATGGACAAGGATCGCCTTGGGACCTGAACAAAACATACATTTGCGGGTCAACAAGGGAAATGCAGGAACCCAACGGGCACATTCAGGTGAATTCGGTCAAAGAACCCGGGACCCGGAGATCTGCTTCGCTCAATCTTGCCAGCGAATCGCGCAGGCTGAGCTTCGGGCTTCGACTTGAAAGCTATCCGCACCGTCTGCTTGCCCTCGCAAGCTCGCAAGCTCGATGGCCAGGGGAAAATTGTTTTTGTGTTTTTCCTCGGATCAAAGTCCTTTTGCCAAGCCCAAGCCGGGAGGTGTTGAACTTGAGTGGCGAATCAGAGGTATGCCGCCCCCTTTTTGGGGGACTAGCGGCTTTGATGCGCTGTGCATCCAATGCCAAACAACACTCGCGAACACAATGCTGCTGTTAGCAGGCAAGTAATCTTCAAGGGGACCCCTCTCATTTTACAATACAGTGCAGCTTCCTCAGTTTAGCTTTTAGCGGTTTAATGGAAAACCCAGTAGTTGGCAAAAAGTTGAAGTCCTAACATCCAAGCAAAATGCACCAAAGTTAGGTTGCTTTCAAGGGACGCACTGCGCACCTGAACAGTCCATGTGCTTCAGCCGGCCTGTTTGTCATGCTGCCAGGCTTGGGCTTGCATCGCAAGCAAGGTTCACAGGGGGATTCTCAAATTCTAGGGGTTGATTCCTTTTCCATTTTGTTCAACCATCGTTCTTCTCAAAAACCGGATCTGTTTTCCCAGGTTTTTGGTGGTTTTCTAGAAAGAAGGATCCCTGGAAAGAAGGCGGAAGGTACCCTTTACAAAATAGGAACACCTCGCTATGTCGAATTGAAGGACTCCCAAAGAAGTAAAAGCTGCCCTATTTTGAGAAGCACCCCCAAATGCCTGCCCAGTGGTCATGCAAAGGGAACTAGCTGGTTTGGTTCAGAGAAATAAGGAGACCTTGGAAATTCGAGTTTCAGACCGCCTTGTGAAGGCAGCCTCCCCCTTGTCAGGAATCGAACAATAAACTGCAAGATTGGGGGTTGACCAAATGGTCTGATTGGAGCCTTTTCAAGGCAAAGTGGCCCTTGGACGAAATCCTGCACCACCGAAGATTCCCTGGATCCACAGTATCTCAGAAACAGATCCTTCTGAATTGAATTAAAAAGCATCTGAACAGCTGAGGCTTCAAAGGGGTCCTGTGACCAGCTGGTCTGCAACCCTGCCACCTCTGCTTTTTGAAATGGTTGTCCTTTCGAACCTCAAAACACGCACAAGCAAACAGGCACCCGCTTCCTCTCCTCTGCCCCTCCCAGCTTGGCGATCTCCGCGCTAATGGTTTCCTTCTCCTGACATGAGCCCAGTAGCACCCCTTTTGGCTGGTTGATGTTGCCCTCCTAGGTCCTCCAATGAGGTCAGAATAAGGGTACCTTTTTTTGTAGACTATTTTTTTAGTAGGGGAACCCTGCCAACCAAAAAAAGGGTGAGAAGGGCACTGGGGGACCTAGCCTCCCTCCAATGGAAGCTGACAGGAGGCTTTTGGAAGCCAATCCTTTCCTTTTTTGGGGGAGCTTCAGGAGCCCACGGAAACACCGGGGCCTCAAATGACTTAACTCGTCACTTCCCATTGAAAGCAAAAAACAATGCTGACTAGTGTGGCCCTCGATTCATCCGTGGTTGACAAGTGATTTAGGTGTGTCTTGCTTTGAGGGTACACCTTTTCTTGTGGTTTTGAAGGGAACCAAGAGGAGAAGCACTATTTGTGGGCCCCCCCCACAAGAAAGACACATCCATTTGAGTGTGTGATGATGCTCGAATCTATCCTTTGCTCTTCGACCCTTGCATATTGACATATCGAAAGGCCTATGCTGCATAAAAACCAAGCAATTTCACACGCCCAAAAGTCATAGCTCCGGGCCAAACATATGAACAAGCAGGCAACAAGTTGCAAAGGGCAACCAGAGTCTGGCAATTACCTCAGGATCCCTACGTTGTCAAGTACATTTGCTGCAACATGTGCACTGCCAGTGGATCCTTGCCCTACGGCATCTGAATGGCTTCACATTACATGATTGCTTTGTGTTTGAGGGTACACTTTTTAGGTCGGTTTGAAGGGAAACCCAAAAGAGCCCATTCTCATTTTTTGCGAGGGATTTCCCCTACAACAAACATACACACCTCACTCCTACCAGAGATCTTCGGTATGAATCAACCCAAGGTTGCGGTCAAAACACGATATGCCAGAGTCGTAAAATGCCGGTCTGAAGAAGTCCTATTTCTGGGCTGCCCTCAGATCCCCCGCTTTAGCTTGTAGTGGGTTAAATGGAAACTGCCACTAAACACTAAAAGCTGAAAGGCTAAGGGGATGGCTCGGAGCCACCAAAATTTGAAAGATCTCTGAACACATGCAATGAGTTGCTCAAGTGCTATCGCCAACTTGGAATCGTCCAATGCCTGTCCATTTGCCAATAGCTGTTTCAGGGAACGAACGCACACACACCCACACACTGATCTCATGTGGAGGAGCAGGCCGCCAAACTCGGACATTCAGCACGGGCTGAGTAACAGCTGATTTGATATCGTTTTCTGCTTAACCTGGCTATAACAGGCGTTAATGGGCATTCATGAGCAATTGCGTGGCACCTCACATTCAAGGTGCCTTCTGTTACATAAAATTATCCATCCCGCAAAACTCATGGGTGTGTGCGTGTGTTTTTAGCTACCAACAGGACAATTACCAACACATGGTGCCTTCCTATATTGACATGTACACACACACACACATTCATTCAAACTTTGTTTCGGGGTCTCTCTATTTTGTCGCATTTGTCTGACGTCTCTGCCGTCGTGCCTCCCCTTCACCTCCCAGCATGGCATCGCAGTAGGAGTGGTATGTCAGCGCCTCAGCGTGGGTCGAGCTTGGTGCTCCAGTAGAGCGTTTAGAATAAGTTGGTACCCGATGACTCTTCTGTAATCTATTTTAGTAGGGGAACCCTCTCCCAAAAAAGGGGTAAAAGGGCACTACTGGGGGACCTAGGTAAACCTTCGCCATGTTCCTTCTACTTAAGCGTGGTTGTGTTGGTGCAGGACGTCTATTTTTGTAGGGGAACCCTCCCAACCAAAAAAGGGGTGAGAAAGGGCACCTAGCTGGGGACTTAGTTGAGCTTGGTTTGAGCAACCAGAGCCGATTCGGTTCGTCTTCAAAGGGAATCCGAAATCCCGTTGGAGGGTTGCTTGAAACATGATTCAACAAGCGGCTAGCCCTACTCTGAGCACAGCTGTTGTTCAAATATGGCTTAGCTCCATGCGGAAAACAAACAAAACACTGGACAACATCCAAAGCCCTGGATGAACCCCGATTTGAATATTTGATAAACCGCTCCCAAAGTTCAGGTGTGTACGACCAGAGGATGCAACACACTATGCAGTCCCTACTTTCCAGCAACATGTTTAGACCCCTCAGCTTCTCATCACATAATAGAGGACGCAGAGATGAAAGAGGCAAGGTTGAGTATGGCGCTTGTTAATTGGGATAAGGCATCGGATAAAATTCAACATGGCAAGTTCATCACAGAGTTGAAACAGAGGGGCTATAGTCAACAGTATAGGGATGTGGGTACCATTTTCTGAGCAACAGCCAGATGGTGACATTCTGAGGAAAAAGCCGCATCCATCTGGTTCAAAGCAAGCGCTACGTGAAGAGTTTCTAAACCAGGAAGGAGTTTGGACCTGATAATAGCCTCGAAAGCGAGAATCTGCAACTTTGAGTTTACATTCGATGCTTTCCAACACGGCAACAGCTTAAACCAAGTCCGCCGAAACTCTCTTGCATCTTGTTCAAGTTTGTCATGGCGGATGTTGACTTCCCTGTTTACTTTGTTTTCTAAATTCAATATGTCGCTTCATACTGGTTCGAGAGTTGCTCCTCGTTGTCGAAGCGCACATGACCTTACCGCAACAGATTTCCCTTTGTCGAGCCGTAGGCCAATTTTTACAACAAACGCCCTGAGAGCCTCAGCAGCTCGTTGAAGGCCGGTTGTCCCTTGAGAAGGCCATGGATCATAACCTTTGGGGCGGATGAACACCCATGTGCCACCTATTTTGATGTTCACCAGGGGTAGACAATCACTTCAGAACGCTAAAAAAAATTCACTTGTGAACGCTGCCACTTTCGATCACTTCCGAACACTAAAAAAAAGTCACTTCAAAACACTGAGCACCCGGAACGCCGAAAGGGTTGCAAAACCCGGTCAGTCAAAAAGATCACTTCCGAACGCAGGCGTCCCAGCCCAAAATCACTTCCGTACGCAGGCAGGCGTCCCAGCCCAGGTGTGCAAAATCTAGTGGTTCCAGATGGTTGGATTTGGGTATAGAGCTTCAGCGGGTGTGCCCACCCCCCCAGAACCACTAGATTTTGCACACCTGGGCTGGGACGCCTGCCTGCGTACGGAAGTTTTGGGCTGGGACGCCTGCGTTCGGAAGTGATCTTTTTGACTGACCGGGTTTTGCAACCCTTTCGGCGTTCCGGGTGCTCAGTGTTTTGAAGTGACGCAAATTCATCTGGTTCTGGGGGTGGGGGGTGGGGTGGGGGGGGCATGATAAGCACACCCGCTGAAGCTCTATACCCAAATGTGCAAATTCATCTGGTTCTGGGGGTGGGGGGTGGGGTGGGGGGGGCATGATAAGCACACCCGCTGAACTGCTTCACCAGTTGTGCAAAATCCAATGAATTTGTTCTGGGGGGGGGGGGGTGATAAGCACACTCGCTGAAGTGAACCAGCCCAGCCTGCTCTGTAACCAGATGTGCAAATTCATCTGGTTCTGGGGGTGGGGGGTGGTGTGGGGGGTGGGGTGGGGGGGGGGGGGCATGATAAGCACGCCCGTTGAACTGCTTCACCAGCAAGGGTGTGCAAAATCCAATCAATTTGTTCTGGGGGGGGGGGTGATAAGCACACCCGCTGAAGTGAACCAGCCCAGCCTGCTCTGTAACCAGATGTGCAAATTCATCTGGTTCTGGGGGTGGGGGGTGGTGCGGGGGGGGGGCATGATAAGCACACCCGCTGAAGCTCTGTAATCAAATGAACCTGAAACAATAAACCTGACACAGCCCAAACAACTTCACGAAAAAGTGGGGCGCTACAACCGAAACCCAAATGACTTGATCCAGACTCCGGTGGCAGGTGCTGTTAATGTTATAGTACGTTAATAAAGGGTTTAGGTCTTAGGGGTTTTTCGAGGCTATCAGAAAAATCCGTCAGCTAGCAGTGCGTGGGCCTGTGGGCAGGTGGGCGCGTGGACGCATGGGTGCCGATTCTTGTCCCAGCGTTCAAGAGCGAAGCACTCGCCGGTGTCTCGGTGCTGCGCGTGGCACGTGGCTGCACTTCCAGCGTTCCGAAGAGATTAGTACGTTTTCCGGCGTTCCGAAGCGATTTTGTTTCAGCGTTCTGAAGCGATGGTTTTGCCAGCGTTCAGGAGCGACGCACTTACCTTCACCAGGGGTACAGGGTTTTGACTCACAGCCAGAACAAGCTTGTATCAGTGTAGAAATCCATGTCCAAGCTGAGACCAGGCATCTGGCTGCTCACACGGCTCACAAGGGATTCAGAATCGACACACGACAACACGATAACAAACAAGTATGGGAAGAGACGGCATCCTTGCCGAATGCCGGACACATGTTGCTTATACTCCCATTCCCATGAACCGAGTGCATCCCTAACAAGAAGGGCCGGTTTAATAGCCCAGTAGATGGAAAGGACCAAAATTCCCACGTAAGCCTGACTGAAGTTTGACGCACAGCCATTTGCAGACAGCTCGACGGGCCCTTCGGAAGGCCACTGAAACAGATCGAGACTGGAGCTAAGCTCTGCCTACCGAGCGATCCTCCCGTCTGATTTTTCCCCTGACACCCCGGCAGAAGAAAAAGTGTGGGAACAGACGCGGGAAAAAACCTGAACTGGCCCACTGCACAAAGAGATGCATGAACAAGTATTGCAAACGTACAAACGGTTCTACAGCTGAGGGCCGCATTTGTGATGCAGCCAGAAGCAAAGCGATGTGATGCTTGCGCCAACGCCTCGCTTCATCTGTCAGTTGTCGAAGGTTGCAGCTGGAAGGATAGATTCCCTTTAAAACCAACAACGGAACATCAAAATATGGTCAAAATCCAAATCGTACCCCCAGTGAACATCCCAATCCCCACTAAAATAAAGCCTAAAATGGGTGGTGCACCTACCCCAATATGGGATCGCCATGTACCACACCACCGCCATGGTACCAAACCAATGCATTTCAGCATTCTACCAAACCACCGCCATGGTGTGCCTGAGCTTCCTTGAGTCCGTGGCAGAGCTGGTGTCGTCATCTGCGTTCAGGGTAGAGCCCTGCCTCCAGAACTCGCGCTGTGATGGCTGATGATTCATATGGGTGCGGTGGCCAGCGATCAGGGCTGAAATCCAGGGCTCCGCAAAGAATTCGAACACCAGCCAGACCAAAACTGGGCTGTTCGTTTTCAGATCCCCCACGAAAAGTGACTAACTGTTGGAGTGACTAACTGTTGGGGGGTTGAATGGAAATCCAATCATTAGACACTAAAAAGCTCTAACAAGCTTTTCGAACCGGATGGCTGGGAGCCACCAAGAAGAGAATCCCACAAATTGGCCACGGTGATGTGAAAAAATCCACCAAAAGCATCCAGCTGGACCTGTACCCAGGTTGGTAAGACACTTCCAGGCGGATGTTGGAGTTTTAGAAGTTAAGTGGTTGGATTCCAACCACTAAACCACCATAAGCAAAAATGTGTCCAATGTTTCCCAACAACCATGGATGCTTCCTGGAAGCCCGAGAAAGTTCCTGAAGGGTCCGAAGTCCTACCAGCCGAGGCAGACCTATCAGGCTAACCTTTGATCAGTCTGCAAGGGATGGAACCACGACATGCCCCCCGCTTGGATTGCATCTTAGTTGGAAGGGTCTGTGTCTTTTTTTGAGCTGGAACCCTCTTTGGGGTTCACTTTCAGGGAACCTAAAGGAAAACCATTTGCCCATTTGGGGGCGCTGGAGACGAACACTGCAAGGCGCCTTATGGCAAACAGTCCCCAATCAAAGGCAGGACTTGGATCAAGGAAAGAACCTACATGGTGAGCTGCTTCCCAGAGCTTTCTTCAAATAGGGGTCAGAATGGGTGAGAAAGTGTGCCAATTTCGGGCGATTGACCTGTTACACTTCTACAAATAAGCATTCTGACTCGGAAACGAGATTCCGGGGGGTCACACGAAAAAAAATGGGTTTTCTGCAAAGCGGATGTTCTTTGGGGTTTCGGGTCCCGTGTTGATTTGCAGGGTGGTAACAAATCCAAACCATCCACCCAGCCGATTGCCAAGCGAGAATCAAGCCCAGAAAGCGGAATATGCAAGCGACATGCCGGAACCACCTGAACTACATGGCCCCGACTATTGATTTGATGGGATTGAACACCTGCTGACCTGCCCAATCGTCGGCGATCAATTTTCGGAATTTTCACTGAAAGCTGGACAAGTGGGTGTTGTTGAACGTGGCATGTGCCTTCTCCGTCTTTTGACCAACGACCCCTCAGGTCGACTCCATGACGATTCAAACCCGCGGATGCGATGAAAGATGTGTCGTGATGCTACCCCACTTGGCATAGCTAAACAATGGAATCAAAGGGTATACCCTCCCACCAACTAACATGGATGTGGAAAAAGGGCCTTTCCAAAAGGAAAGTAGTCTTTCTACAGGGTCTGTACACTTCCATGTTAGCTGGTGGGAGGGTACCCATAACAATCAAAAGCGCGCATCTGCGCATTTCCGGCTGGGCCTTTTCAAAAGTTTCCTTGCTTCAAGTACTGTACCTGAATGGTGGTGGCTCGTAAACGCCCCAAATCAAACCATCGCCTCATTTCCGGGGCTCCCCAAGTTGTTCCCTGCAAACTACCTCTGCCAAGGCAAACTTTCCTCTGGGCTGAAAACCACCCCCTATCTGGTGTCAAAATCGGGGACCCCCAACGGTGCTGGTTTAACCACCCCAAAGGTATCGAGTCCAAAGACAGAACCACTTACCCACCATGGGCTGCTAACAAAAGCACCAAAAGGGCGGTCCTTGCCGATAGATGTATCAAATCCAAGGGCACCGCCCCCGGTTTTTACGTCTTAAAAGGAAGGGGCAAAGCCATATATTCTTGGCTGCTCTTGACCCCCCTGCAAAAAGTTTAACTTTTTGGGGGGTTTAGTGTAAAACACCCTTTATGTCCCACAAAGTTAAAGTCTAAAGATCCAACCCAATAGCAGCCAAGTATTCCCCTCTTTTTGTTGACCCACCCTCCAAGGTTCCATTGATACAAGTGCTGCCCGGCAAGCCGTCGTCGGCCAACAAATCGGGATCTTTACCTCTAGGTGAAACACCATGGATGGATTCCCATCGCCTCTAGTGGCGAAACGCCAAACGAAGGGTCCTTTGCGTGCGATGGGGACACCACTAAATCGGACAAGTGACCGATGGTCATTCGGCCGGACGGAAATTTCATCAACCATAGGTGTCCTTTTAGAGGAGATAGATGGATATCCCTGGTAGATGATTAAACCACCAGGTAAACCAGGAATCGCCCTCCATTTTTCCAGCAAAACAAAAAGGACTCCTATCACCTATGTCATAAATGATTTTTCCCCCTGTGGTCATTCGGGGGCCGGACGGAATAGTCATCCACCCTTTTCTACATGAAGTGCCCAGAACCAATTCGCAGCACCCAAAACCGGATCCGGGAAACGGACAAGCCGCCATCAACTCTTTGTATATGAAGTGCCCAGAACAAAAATCCACGCCACGGGTCCCTGTATAGCCGGATCCGGGCGCCTAATGAAGCCGCCCTCGCTCAGCTTTAGGTCCAGCACCAAATCCGTGCCGTTCACCCCCTAACCGCCCGTGTTAACCCGAAAACCAACCCGAAAACCATAAAACACATGGCTGTGGTTGTCAACAATGTGCTAACCCCAAAATGGGTTGCCCTGGTAAGTGGAAACATAGACCAAAATCTGCGATCCAATTCCGGGTGGTTTAATTTTAACCCGCTTGGCTGTGGGTCAAAACCCAAATCGTACCCCCAAGTGAACATCCCAATCCAACCACTAAGATAGGTTCTAAAACGGGTGGTGAATTCACCGACCCCAAAATGGAGCCATGGGTTTTGACCCACAGCCACATCACGCCTTCGCATTTCTAAACGATTGTTTATTCAGGGGGAGCGTGGGAGCGGGGGACGATGTAGTACACTCATGTACCCTCCTATCTGTGTGTTGGCTCAAATGGGAGGTGTATGAACGACCTGATATAACTTTATCCGGTAAACGACATCGCAACTTCAGGGTGAGCATGTTTGTTCCTACATGGGCTGGCTTTGAACCTTCGATTCTTCAACCAGCTTCCAAGTCGGAACCTCTAAGGACCTGTTGTTGGGAATCGCCTGGACAGCTTGGCAGCGTTTGAGCCTAGGATTCGTAGCAAGGACCAAGACAGCTTAAGGATCATCGGCAGGAAAGCCTTTGAGGAGACCTTCTAGTTGAAGCCAAGACTCACCTTTCTGCCTTCCCCGTTTTTAGGGGTGCACCATCTTTTCAAAAATCGGCCCTCGCCCACTGCGAACCTGACCCGACGTGAAACAGTTCGGTCCTTAAGAACAAAAACAGCCATCTTGGCCCAAACACGTCCATCGGTCACCAACTCACAAAGGTATAACGGTATAACATTCAGTTGATTAGGCGAGAACGTTTTTTAAACCTTTCCTCACCTCCGCAGAACCAGCAAACACGACTGTCGTGAAAGTGCTTCGTGCACAAACCTATGTGAGATGGAGCCTTAATATGGGGCCTGTGGTTAAGGATTGCAAAGCGCCGAAGTCAAATAGGTCCTGTAGTAGGGAGGTTGGAATAAGGGTAGCCTTTTTGTTTCTGTAATCAATCTTAGTAGGGGAACCCTCCCAACCAAGAAAAGGGGTGAGAAAGGGCACTACTGGGGGACCTAGTAAACCTGCGTCTTATATGCGTTCAAATCTGGCTGGCTTTCAAGGGAGCTAGCCAAGAATGACTGGTGCTTGCAGCCTGGCGTAGGGCTGCGACATTCCAAAAGGTCTGCCCAAAAGAAAGGGGAGCAGTCACACCGCACCCGTTTTTGAGGATTCCATGGATTCCGTCGCCTTTATTCAGATCGGGAAATGCCTTGCGTATCTGACTGATTCAATACCCTCTGGAAACTTCAGCAATGCCCGATGGGATACATGACGATGCAACTTGGCCCAAGTTCGACGTAGCTGGTCTCTGCTCCCAAACAGTGTGCACCTAAAACCAATGGGCTTTTGGACAATTAGATGGCCCTGGTAATGTGCTCCATCTAAACCAGTGCCATCGATTTGTCTTAACAAACTGGCCTAAAACGCACACCTATGCTTGCAAACACTTTTTTACCAAACGAGCCTAAAACGGACACCTATGCTTGCAAGCACATGGTCTTCCCACCTCTCCTCAGCAAACAGGAGAGGCAACTAGGACAGCCAAGGCACCTTCGAAGTCAAAGGAAGTGGGTCGCCGCTGGTCCGCATATCCTCATGCACCAAAAAGGGAGCGCTACTAGGTCCTCCTGTAGCGAGGTTAGAATAAGGGTACCAACTTTTTTCTGTCGTCTATTTTATTAGGGGAAACCTCCCCCAAAAAACGGGGTGAGAAAGGGCACTACTGGGGGACCTCGGCTAGTTCCGACCGCGGATTTCACAGTCTCCTGTCAGATTCCTTCCAAGGCTAAAGAGGACTCTGCTTACCACCATGTTCCGCGTGTCAGCGGGACCCTTACCACTTCAGTCACAATCAAACCCTGCCATGGAAAAAGAACTTATAAAGAATCAAGGCGGATGTCCGCACCAATTCTTCTGGCTGGGACTGTCCCTTACCTTTCATCAGAGCTTTTGATGGCTCACTTGCACTTCGCAAGGAGCCCCTACCTTGGCCGATGAGTGTTGTCTGTTCCATCCCAATCTTCACTTCACCGAAGAATGAAGGCTTCCTTGTCAAATGGGACACCCCGCTATGAATCGACCAGGGAGTTATGAATCCGGGTCAACCGATACCCCTTGCAGCGCCTTGCAGCGCCTTGCAGGACATGGGAGAACATGACACCCTCTGTGACACCACAGACGCAGTGGACCATCCCTCTCACTAATTTGTCTCTTTGACGAAGGTTCCGTCGGTACCACTGCAAACCAGCCAACATCATCTCGTTTGGCACAGCTATGTGTGCATTTGGATGATGGTGAATACAAGCCGTTGTGTTTAACTCGCAACCAAGCACCGATACTCGAATTTATGGACGGAGGTCACTTATCTCCAGTTGTCCGTAAACAAACGAGATTGTCACATGACCTTGAAGTTCTTCAACAAGAAGGATGCATTCCTGTTTTTTGTTCATTTGAGCCACTGACAAGGCTACTTGCCCCCCAAATGCAGAAGCGTAGCTGTCCCTACTTGATGTTCTGCTATTGCTTTTTGTTGGGGGGTTCTGTCTAGCCTCCTCTAAATGAGCAGTAGACTACCGGGAATCGTGCCAGTTACGCAGTCGCGTCCTGGTTTGCTGCCTTTGTGTTCACTTCAAACGAATCAGACCAAAATCCAAAGCCTGACGCTATGGTGAATGCAGATTTTCTAAGTATGGCCTGAAAGGGCCGGCCTTCTGTTCTTTCTGAGCGGCGTCAATCAGAGGTCCACACTTTCAGACACCATCTGCGGCAAACGACTATGATTCACAAACCGGATGCATGTGAGGAAGACGTATTTGACCTTCATCATGGAATATACAAGCCTGGCTGCAGGTTTGAGGTATCCTTGTTGCGGGGGATTGCCAAGGAAACCAAAAACGGCTGCTTGCCGCTCCCCTGCCAAAAGTTTAACTTTTAGTGGTTTAATGGGAAACTCATTCGTTGGCAAAAAGTTAAAATCCTAACATCCATCCAAAATGCGCCAAAGAAAAGGAAGCCACGTCCGAGGTCCGAATCCACACCGAATGGACGCGGCTCCTGTCCCTTGAGGACCACCATGAGGAACTCTAAAAACGCCGGGGACGCTGTGTCCGGCATGTCCGGCAGATCTGGCTCCGCCTCCCCTTCCTCGCGGCTCCGCGGAAAAGGGCCCTTGCTTTTTTTCGTCACAGTCAGGTTCCATGACAAGAGCATAGGTGTCCTTTTAGGCAAATAGATGAATATCCCTGGTAGATGATTAAACCAGCAGGTAAACCATGAATCGCCATCTATTGTTCCACCAAAACAACCAAAAAGGACACCTATGGACAAGAGGCTGGTCTTTTGGAGGCAATTTTCAAGCGAACCCAGACATTCAACCAGGTGCTCTCAGTTGCCCGGATGGGACCCAGAAATAGAAGGTGATTAGTTTTGAGGATCCCTAAATATGAACCAAACCAGGGAAACCAAAAGGTTAAAATGTCGATTCGCTTTGGGCAAGTGAGTTCTTGTGAGCTTCCAAAAAAAAATGAAACTAGGGATTCCCTAGAAGGAAAGCACCAGTTGGATGTTCCCCCCCGTTTTTTGTTTTTTGTTTTTCCTTTTTTCCAGGGTCATTCCATTTCTCATTCCCTGTCCATCGAACCACGAAATTTCGTCGCTTCAACGACATGGCCCGAAGCCAAGCCATCTGCGCCCGAGAGCGATCCGCAGGCAACCCCCCGGTTGGCAGAAATGAAAAGAGAAACCGAGAGGAAAGCAGCATCCTTTGTTTTGAGAAAAAACTCTGGTAACTAGGTCCTCCAGTAGAGAGGTGAGAGTAAGGGTACCAACTTTTTGTTTCTGTAGTCTATTGAGTCTATTTTTTTTGGGGAACTCTCCCCCAAAAAAGCGGTAAAAGGGCACTACTGGGGGACCTAGGTAAGCCTTCGCCATGTTCCTTCTACTTGAGCGTGGTTGTGTTGGTGCAAAACGGGAAATGGAATCCATGGGCACCATTTGCAGACGCAAGTAATGCTGACCTTACATGCATCAACCTCATGGAATAAGGCCCCCTTGTCAACCAGAGTTTAATCTCGGTGTGCAGCATAAACCAAACAAATGTAGAACATCTGTCAAGTTACTCTGCATAAGATAAGGTATGCTATGGATCATGCAGCCAACGGGCTTGCGGTCAGGGGAACACCATCCAAACAAAATAAGAAACCTGGTTGTTGAGAATCACCCTTCTGTGATTCCAAGCAGGCCATCCCCAGTACTAGATTTTTGCCATGTGAAGAATATTATCTTGGTAATTATTACAGACTGTGGCAACCCAACAAACTCTTGTTTCCACCACCATGGAACCTCACCCAAACAAGGCCCCCCCCTCATCCTGCTTGCGGTTGAAGTCTGCAAAGGACGTGTAGCTGAAGTCGGATTGCGACCGACCTTGCGTCACAGGCAACGTACTCTCCGTGTTCCAAAAACCCGAAAATAAGAAACAACACATGCGTAGCAGCATGACTTTCAAGGAAGACTTCATCCCGTCGTGCAAGTCCTGGCTCCCTGAAACGTACCTGCACGGCAGCTCCATGGATGTACTTGAGCGCTTTGTTTTCTCGGCTGGCTAGTCGCGAATGTAAACGCTAGCCAATTGCCACCTGCACTCCAAGCACTCAGACTCCGAAGCACTGAGCACCGAAGGCTGGACAAGTTTTCAAGGCCCTCGGCCTCAGCCAATATGAAACGCGCGAGTCGCAATACCAGCCCAAACCGACCAAACTCCAGCAAGCTGCGCAAAACAGCAGCTATACAAAATTCAACAGCTGTAAGCGACTCAGTCGCTGTACAGGCGCGTAAAAAAAACCGACTCAGTCGCTCCGCGAATGGGCTTTCGTGCTGGCGAAAGGCCAAAAGCCAGTTCTCTCGCATCCGAATGCGGCTGGGGTAGATTTGGGTCGCCGTGGATGGTCCACGCGTGGTGTCTTCGGCGTCTCGGAATGGCATCTGACACTGGACCTGGACGATGTCGATCTCTGCTGGCCCAAAGGCTTCCACTTGAAGTCTGTCAAGTCTTTCTCATTCTTCTCGGTCTTCCTGGTCAGACTGACCCCCTCCTAGTGAAAATCAACATTTTTTGAATGTGACAAAGGTCATTTCGGTTCAAAGGAGCAACCAAGGTTGTAGCTGTGGTCATAAGTGGAAGAATCACCGTTGGTTCACATATAGCCATGGCAGAAGTCAGTCGCAGAGCCGAGCTGCACGGCTCTCTCCATGTTGATTCGCTGCTTGCTCAGGATGTCCACTCCTTGAAGCAGCTCCGGTCTCTGATCCTCCTCATAACATGGACGGTCCCCGTAACTACTTTTAGCATTGGCCACTTTCAAGCAGATCTCCTGACAGAAATGGCAACCTAAACCCACTTGCCACACTCAGAGGATGGATTTACCTGCAAACTAGGCAAACAGGAAAACAACTCAAAGCACAATGGCTAGTTGCTTACTGTTGGTGTTTCTCACAAAGGGGCCCTAAAAAGTTTGGTTTCTTTTTGGCATCCGTTTTATTTACTATCCCAAAGAGGGGTACAACGCACTTGGGCATGTGTCACAACAGGGGGATCCCTGAACTGCTGTTTTCCCTTCTAGTTTCCCTTCAAACGGGCCCTCAATAACCGAACCACTTTGCCACAACCATGGCTTCCCCTCTTTACTTATTTACCAACCAAAGTGGGGTCCTTTCCCTTTGAGAAATCCCCCATGCAAATTGTTCATTTTGTTCAGCCCCCAGCGGCAGCTTAAGAGAGCTGATACCTGAGAAAACTAAAAAAAATGAGGCGACCCTTTTCGGGGTACTGAAACCAAACGGAAAACATAAGCCATGAATTTGCTCCGAATTCTGCTTTCAGCCAAGCCTTGGGTGCGTCGCTTGCTTGGGGTGACCTTCATTTTTTGGTTTTGGCGAATCATTTTTTTTTTATTTTTTTTTAGAAAAGAAACAAGTTGGGGGGTCCCTCCTTGTTTTTGCGAACCAAACGGAAAAACACAAAAGAAGTCCGGGGTAGGATCCCTCCATCCACAGACCCACATGTTACCTAGATCCCCACTTGCCTTTATTTTCCAGCTACTTTGATCAAATTGTGGGCTACTAGTGGGTAAAGTGGCTGGAACAAAGTGGCTACTTGGGGTTCCAGGTACGTCCTTGAACATCCCAATCCCCACTAAAACAGACTAAAATGGGTGGTGCGCCTACCCCAAAATGGGATCCCAAAACGGTTTTGACAACCACAGCCACATGTTTTCCCTCCTTCATGTCCGCCAGGTTGTGCAAGACCTCGGCGAGGCTCTGCAGGACATGCACCTTCAGTGCCTTGTCCTCCTCTGCGAAGCCCACGCGCACCGTGCCTGAGGAGTTGGTCACTGAGATGCTGGCGTTCAGCGCCATGGCGAAGGAAAAAAGAAAAGGCGAGAGACGGGAAGGAGAAAAGAGGGAAGCGGCGGAAAACTTGGGGGAACCTTGGAGCCAGACAAAAAATGCGGAAGGGTTTGAAGATCTGTCTGTACTGGTTTTTGGCCAGAGCTCTGGGCAAGACCGGCAAGCAAAACCAGGGCCAGAGCAGACTTGAGAATGCCCTCAGACGCCAACACAGCCGTAACCTGATACATGTTGCTCAAATCAGTTCACCTACGCCTTGTTCTGCCTCCCTTTTGTTACGGGGCCTCTGTTGCAGATCCTTGCAACACTAAGTAAGCCTTGGCCTTAGAAGCCGAAGTCAGCCTGGGCGAGCCTTAGAATAAGCCTATAGCCTTCGTGTGGCTTGAGGAGGTGATAGGTGGTTTCGGAGGGGGAGTCAGTGAGTGCTGCCGTTTGATATACATCTGCGGCGTTAATTTTCATCGCCGCGCTTCACTCCTTGGGCCAGCGCAGGGCTGATGGCACTTTACACTGCCGATTGAAGTGCTGCTTTGGACAAAAGGTCTGCCACTCCCAGTGTGAGGGTAAACCCACGGACCACAGACAAAGATGAAACATTCACGCTTTGTTCTTGGTGCTTGGTTTAAAAACGAGGTGCCCCCTACAGAAACGTAAACGTGGTGTTCCTTGGCGGAAAATCAAGCTTTATGCCCCCGATAGCCAGCAAACCCTCGACTTGTTGGGGTTTGTGGTACCAAAAGCCCTTCACCAGTTGACCAAGGCAAGATTTCACTGAAAAGACAGTCACTAGAAATTGCCCATGCCTCCGCAAAAGAAACAAAGTGCCCAACTTAAATTGAGGAGGCACTCGTCTGGAAATATGTCGCCAGCCAACTTGGAACAACATAACCCGAACCAGTTTCTAGTGAACTCGAAGTCTTTGGGCATGCCCACAACACCGTTTCCCTAGCCCATACTCTCTACCCCTTACAAGATGGGAAGGGCCGTCAACTGCAGATCAATGATTTGGGGAGCCAACTGAAAACTTGGGCAACCGTTCGCTCATGGGCTCCCTTCGGATGATCAAGTTGCCTGTTGCTGCCCCGGGCCCCCGGTACGCAGCCTTAACCTGACTCTGCTGATTCCTTGCGACTCGGTACCCAGGAACCAGGAGAGGAAACGAGCTTGATGGGGAGCCAAGAGGAAGCTGAAATCGAAGGAACTCATAGCTGACATGAAATCAGCGAGTCGAATCATTCTGCCTGCCCCTTGTAAAAGGTACTTTGCGTCTACCCAAGGGTCACATGTTTGAACCAAGCGCAACAGGGAGAACGGGCGCTCAGAGCAAAAGTTTCAAACTGTACTCATAGACCTTGTACGCGTCCATCATCCCAGCATCCAACAATAAATAAATGGCTACGCTGTTGTATAGTTATATCAACATATACAAAGTCAATATATCTATATATATATAGACAAATACAATTGTGAACAGGTATATATATGTATATATATATATTATCGCTATATGTAAGTTATGTTGCTCCAAGAAGTAATGCAGAACCACGGCCAACACATCAACCTAAATCAGATGCTGCAACTTGGGGTACTCAAACAAGCTCTCAGCTCTTTTGGAAAACTACTTTGGGGACCCGTAAAGCCAAGGATTCAGGATATCCCTTGAACCCAAAGCCGCAAAGCCTGGGATGCCGGCCGAATCCACCGCGTCTGCCGCCAGGACTCAGCAATGCGCCTGAGATGGACTGACCCACGAGCAGAGCAACTTAGGGCCATCAGGGTGAGCTTCTAGGAGTACCTTCCCCATTCTTTCCAGGGATCCTTCTTTAAACAAACAAAAAGCAAAACATCAAACATGTGAGGAAACAGCTGGTTTTTGAGAAGAACAATGGTTGAAAAGAATGGGCAATCGACCCTTAGAGAGCTCGTTTTACCCCAAGCTCGCCATAGATTAGGCGAATGGATGAAGATTGGAAGGGAAGGGCTCAAAATTGATGTTAAGGACAACTGGCGAAAACATGAGCCTAGTGAACAGTTGCGCCCTTTTTGGCATGTGGGGGGGGGGGGGGGAAACACTCCCCCCTTGGTCGTGTGAACGATACCTGGTTCATGCATCGTGCCATGCATTTGGTCAGGCGTCGAATGTCATGCTCTTTACTACCGGTGACAATCCATTCTGTGCTTTCTTGACACTTCCTTGAATTGAGGACACCAACAGCAAAGCCAAGAACGTACCACTCAAATGATTGATGCATCCAAAGGCGGAGAACCCAACATTCTTGGAGACCATTGGCGATCATCCCAGGCAAATTTGGGGGTTCCCCTACTTGGGAGTGTCTTTTCTTGGAGTTGTCCTTTTGGTTTTCCCCAGTCATTTTCTGCTCTTAGAATCATCTTTTCCGCTCTTAGTATCCCTCTTTTCAGCTCTTAGTCTCTAATTTTCCGTTCTTAGTTTGAACAAGTTTTCCTGTAGGGGAACCCTCCCCCAAACAAGGGTGAAAAGGCGCCTAGCTGGGGGACCTAGTGTTGGTTTCCCCAAGCCCGCAGAAAACGGGCGCCCTGACGCACCAAAGATTTGACACATCCGGGGCCCCGGCTGCTAGGGGAGGAGGCCAAGGAGTCTTGCCGCGGCAAATGGCTCTGCCCAGGCGAGCCCTCAGTGTCACTTGCTGTTTCTTCCCCCGAACAAAATGAATATATTTGTAATAATATGAATATATAAAAATATATGTATATATATATATGTATGTATACATATATATATATATATATATGTACTACGCCCCCCCCGGTGCCTAGGTATTGCTTGATTTCAGCGCGCTTACAGATATATATATATATATATAGTATATGTAATGTTGAGGCTAGAAATTACAATTGTAAACATATTAGGAATGCCATATTTATATGAACACAACACACACACACACCTGAGGGCACCCATGCCCTGTCTTGCCTTTAAAGAGAAACCAAGAGGATAGCCACCATCTTGGGTGCGATTTCTCAAAAAGACACACACACACACACCTGAGGGCACCCATGCCCTGTTTTGACTTTAAAGGGAAACCAAGAAGAGGATAGCCACCATCTTGGGTGCGATTCCTCAAAACACACACACACACACACACACACACACACACACACACACACACACACACACACACACACACACACACACACACACACACACACACACACACACCTGAGGGCACCCATGCCCTGTTTTGCCTTTAAAGAGAAACCAAGAGGATAGCCACCATCTTGGGGGGGATCCTCAAAAAGACACACACACACACACCTGAGGGCACCCATGCCCTGTTTTGCCTTTAAAGAGAAACCAAGAGGATAGCCACCATCTTGGGTGCGATTCCTCAAAAAGGCACACACACACACACACCTGAGGGCACCCATGCCCTGTTTTGCCTTTAAAGAGAAACCAAGAGGATAGCCACCATCTTGGGTGCGATTCCTCAAAAAGACACACACACACACACCTGAGGGCACCCATGCCCTGTGTTACCTTTAAAGAGAAACCAAGAGGATAGCCACCATCTGGGTGCGATTCCTCAAAGACACACACACACACACACACCTGAGGGCACCCATGCCCTGTTTTGCCTTGAAAGACAAACCAAGAGGATAGCCACCATCTTGGGTGCGATTCCTCCAAAAGGACACACACACACACACCTGAGGGCACCCATGCCCTGTTTTGCCTTTAAAGAGAAACCAAGAGGATAGCCACCATCTTGGGTGCGATTCCTCAAAAAGACACACACACACACCTGAGGGCACCCATGCCCTGTTTTGCCTTTAAAGAGAAACCAAGAGGATAGCCGCCATCTTGAGTGTGATTCCTCAAAAAGACATTTAAAGAGAAACCAAGAGGATAGCCACCATCTTGGGTGCGATTCCTCAGAAAGACAGACACACACACACACACCTGAGGGCACCCATGCCCTGTTTTGACTTGAAAGAGAAACCAAGAGGATAGCCACCATCTTGGGTGCGATTCCTCAAAAAGACACACACACACACACCTGAGGGCACCCATGCGCTGTTTTGCCTTTAAAGAGAAACCAAGAGGATAGCCACCATCTTGGGTGCGATTCCTCAAAAAGACACACACACACACACACCTGAGGGCACCCATGCCCTGTTTTGCCTTTAAAGACAAACCAAGAGGATAGCCACCGTCTTGGGTGCGATTCCTCAAAGACACACACACACACACACCTGAGGGCACCCATGCCCTGGTTTGCCTTGAAAGACAAACCAAGAGGATAGCCACCATCTTGGGTGCGATTCCTCAAAAAGACACACACACACACCTGAGGGCACCCATGCCCTGTTTTGCCTTTAAAGAGAAACCAAGAGGATAGCCACCATCTTGGGTGCGATTCCTCAAAAAGACACACACACACACACCTGAGGGCACCCATGCCCTGTTTTGCCTTTAAAGAGAAACCAAGAGGATAGCCGCCATCTTGGGTGCGATTCCTCAAAAAGACACACACACACACACACCTGAGGCCACCCATGCCCTGTTTTGCCTTCAAAGAGAAACCAAGAGGATAGCCACCATCTTGGGTCCGATTACCAAAAGACCCACACCTGAGAGTACCCATATTTGGTGGCGTTAAAGGGAAGCCAAAAGGATAGACACACGGCCGCGTTTCTGCTGCCATAGCCTGCGGCTGGAATTCGAGTGTCAGGCACTGAAGGCGCTGGCGGCAGCAGAGCCCTGGCGCCGGAACTCTGTCCTGGCGGACGTCGACCGTCAAACTGCTACGCAACTCGCGGTTTTTCCCAAAGCTTCCTGACGGCTGGGCCCATTTTAGAGATCATGGGTGGGGGGTCATGGGTGTGGGGGGCCTGATGGTGCTATAGCTGCTATTGATGGTGTCGACCTAGGATGAATCTCCCTGGTGGATTGGTAGGCCCCATTTTAGAGGTCATCCTTGGTGTGGGGAAACGGCCGTAGAGTCCAGAAGGTTGAGGAATCCAGGCTA